TGATCATTTCTATCTTGCAGCTTTACAATCCTGTACAAGTTCCAGTCTCAGTAATATTTTTTTATTTTTTTCTAAAAAAGAGGTAAATGATTTATTTACTAGAGCTGCTACTGCTGACTCTGAAATGTCCCAGTCACAAACTAAACACAACAAATATTCACCTGCTGGCTGCAAGAGAGAACAAAACAGTTTGCATGCACTCCTTGCATCTGAGGAACTAAAGACCTCGTGGATTACTTTTATTTTTGTTGGAAATGTAGGAAAATCCTTTGTTTAGCATGCTGGTGTGACACGGTAATGTTAGCCATGCTAATGTGGCTAACTGTAAATATGAGCATCGGCCCACATGTCCTGAAGAGCTCCATGGACGGTGTTACGCTGGGGAAAATGATGGAAGCTTTAAGATCATTTTGAAACCGATAAACAAGGACTGAGTTGGGTTATTGTGGTTTATGTCACCTCTTGTTTTCCAGTGCAATATAAACTCTAATCTAGTGGCTTCTCTCCTGCTCTCTGTGCTCATATACACTTTATTTAATGCAGCCAAATTCACAATATGCAAACCAGCGTACTGTTCCGGTCATTCTGATCCACACTCCTCTGCAGAAGATATGCAACATGGTGTCTAGCATTAGCACAAAGCTTGAGAAGCCAAGAAAGCACAGAGGAGTGACAGCTTAGACTCTGATGTAGATATGAGCAAGACAGTCAGATCTTAATACTGCCTGCAACAATAATAGATACTTAAAGCAAACAGATATCAGCGGAAAAAAACTAAACAATTTGGAACAAAGCGTCATGGACAGCAGCTGTATTTAAAGCTATAGACACTAAAATGGATCATTTAGAGCATGTCTAATACCACATTTGGTCAAATTAACCATCTTTAGTGTATGTTTAGTTAAAAACTGAAAGACATATTCTTTTAACGACTAAACACGGGTACAATATGGGGCCTTGTAGAAGCCAATAACGTAATGAATTTGCCATTTTTAAAATGTAATAGGCCAATAATGTAATAACTGGCCAATAACATAGTAAAAGTCCTGAACTAATAACGTAACTTTTGGTTTTTGGTTATTACATTTGCAAAAAGAATTTTTTTTTTTTTTACCAGGCCAGTAACATAATAACCCATTACGTTATTAACCAAAATATATTATGTTATTGGTCAATTACATTTTAAAAAGTGCAACTTTATTACGTGATCGGCTTATGTTATTACATTATTAGCTTCTACAGACCTTTAAAAAGTTTTAATGAAGACTGCATACGCTGCAGACACGTTACAACATTACTGTTCATAGTCGCTGTGATGGTGTTGAGTTAGTACCTTACATACACTCCTTTAATCCGTTCTTAATATAGACAGATGCTTAATATAAGCAAAATGTTATGCGTTCATGAAATGCGGACGCTCACAGGATGAAGGATGGGGCCCTCGGTGAGAGAGCGAGCTCAAGAGTGAGCGGATGTGAGCGAGATGTGGTGGAGTGGCAGCAATGAGTGTTTAATACTGACACTGGATGGGAAAAGAGACAGAACTCCGTAGACCAGACAGAGAAGGAGATTATCTGACCCGCTGAGAGGCGATGATAGCGTGGTGAGGGAGAGGAGGAGCCGTTTAACCTTTACAATGGATATATTCTAATTATACTGCCACAATTACAAATAGCATCAACACTAAACTTAGAGCGCTTCCATCCCTGAGTTCAGGAGTGTTTACAGAGCTGACCCCAGCCAGCCTCAGACAATGTCAGATAAACAATCAGTGTGTCATAAATCCTTCTTTGATATTGATTCTGTCATCTGTTGTACAAACATCGGTAGCCTGACTTTGTGCTGTATGAGAGTCTTGCCAGTGATCTGACAGCAGGACTTTGTGCAGTCTGGTTGTGCGCCATGGTTTGATTGAGATGGGCAAACAGGGCTTTACGGAGGTATGTGTGGTCTTGGGAACTCATAACTCAGGAACTCATAAAACAAGCTTGAGAAACCTTAAGGAAATGCATGTCTACTTTTACAGAATAACAGTCTAAAAGTTAATTCTGTTGGAATTTGCCTTTATTAAGAGGCAGTTTGATGTTCAGTCTCTGTCCGCTGCCAACATACGGAGTTCATTCTTTGATAGTAAAATGCTTCGGTTATCACATTCAGTCATTTGTTCCCTGTTCCCGTGGAATTCTTTTTCATACTGTTGGGTTAATAAAGTACACTGTGCACCAGCTTCGTTGACTTTAAATTGGCAGTATCCAATACATGTACCATTGTGTATTCTGAAGCAGAGAAAAATAAACAGAAAAACCCTCCATGCATGAGATAATGAAGGTATGAACAGCCCATCAGACCATACAGAATGGTCACCTCAGTATCATCCTGCTATAGGGAAAAAACACAAATTGCTATTGTCTTGGGTTGAGCAAATCGTAAGCTGTCCATGTTCCTACAAAATAGTGCTGGGTCGACTTGTTTTGTCGCGAAATTTGCTTTCAGGGAGGCGACGTCTTCATTAAAATGGATAGTTTACTGAATAAACTTGCATGGTGACAATCCTCCTCAAGACATTTCAGTGTGTAGGTTTCTCAAAGGTTGTCATTGTTGTTTCCCATCATGAAAGGGGATTTTAAAAGTGCTAACACAAAGAAAGAGGAAGGGGAATCTAAGCCAAGTTATACGGCAGACTTACACTTGCCATCTACATCCAATGAGTTAGATTAGCGACAATGTCATGTAAACGTGCTAATGTTGTTGATTATTTTATATTTTGAATATCAGTACTAAGTGATACTTTGGATTCACCCTGGTATGTTGAACCAGTTCAATTTATGGGGGTATATTTTTGAGGAGAAGATGAATATTAGTGTGTGTTTGTTGTGTAACCGTTTTCAGGGCCTAGTTAGCCTAGCTTAGCATAAAGACTGGAAGCAGGGGGAAGCTAGCCTAGCTCAGTCTAAAGGTTTGAAAACATGCTTCCTCATACATCTAACGCAACTTTTTTCCTCCTAGAAATAGTTCTAGTGTAAATGTTGTTTGTTTTTTTTTTTTTATACTGAAACAAAAATATGTTTCGTTATTACGCTTCTGGTTTAACAAACAGGAAATGTCACATCAATTTGTGAGTTTTGAAGTTGCTGGTAGACATTGTTTAGCTTCCAGTGGTAAGCTAAGCTAGGCTAAACACTCCCTGATCATCTTATCTTGGAGAGAATGTCAATTTACCTTTAAAAAAACCCATTCAAGTTGTTTTTTTACCAGCTCTGGGAATTTCAGTTTCCTTGAATCAGGTGTTCTCAAACACTATCTGTCCCTTTGTGTGTTGTTTAAAGTCACGGGCATTTGTTTCGAAATTGCGACGTCAAGGGGAAACTTCAACGCAAATTAGGAACGATCACATCCTGTTGTTTGAGAAAAACTCCGATTTTTAGACTCAACATGTGTTTAAAGGACGTCTGAGGACATTTTGAGCGGCGCAGACGGGACATAATCAGCGGGTGGTTATGAGAAAACCTATTTCTGTAAGGTGCAGCCCAGACTGGAGATATGAGTCTGAGGTGGAAGTGGTTGGGTCAGACTGCAGCCATTTTCTCACACACGTCTTAGACACTGTGTGTGTGTGTGTGTGTGTGTTGGTGTGTGTGTGTGTGTGTGTGTGTGTGTGCGTGCAGTATCTCCCTGACCTGCCTGGCCTGGAGGTGGTAGCCGTGATAAACCACTTTCCCTCCTCTCAGCGTCCTCACGACCAGATGTTCATCCAAAACATTCCCACAACGTCACAGACTCTGTCACAGCTCTTTTAAAAGATAATTAACAACTTAAATTCAACCATCTCTGGGTAATTCAAACAACAAGTGTAGCCTCTGTGTTGCTTTTATCACTTGTGCCACTCTTTTTTTTGTCATATTGGATTATTTCAGCTTCTTTTATTGCATATTTTTTGCCCCTTTCAGCAACAAAACTACTGCATACTAAAGCGGCTGTGTTGTTTTTATTTTTAATTTTGTCTGTCAGGTACCTGGCCAAGCTGTCGTCAGTGGGGAGCATCAGGGATGAGGAGACGTGTGAGAGGTTACGAGGCCTCATCCAGAGACAGGTACACATCTGTACTTTGCTGCGGAGGCTTTTATTCAATATGTAGAATCACCTGTTGCTCAGACAAGGCAGTGGGCTTTAATCATGTAGAACTAAAGGGTTGTAGAAGTGATGTGAAAGGTTTCATTTTTTTTATTTAACCTCATCACAAGCAGTGTTTCACCATCGTCGTGTAGATTTAACGATAAGATGGAGTGAGCTGCTGGTCAGTGAGGATAAAACCATTTCACCCACCTCAGATTTAGAATATCTCATTTATGCTTTTATTATTTGTAGAGTGGACAACACTAAAGCACACAACTCATTCAAAGTACTGCTGCTAGAATACTGAAAAACACCAAGAATTATACTTTATCGTTTGGCTTTTTACATTGTTCTAGTCAATCAGTTTTAATTATTCTAAAAAAAAAAAAAAAAATGTGTGCACTTTATTCAACTTGTCTCTACTGTTTTTTAAATTCAATTAATTTTATTTTGCTGTATTTTATACTCCTAAAGTTGAACTGTGAATAACCTCTGCGTATGAAAAGGTGCTCATAGATAAACTTGCTTAAAGCTACTTAAAGAAAAATGAACAGGGAGACGTCTGTGTTAAGGGTTAAGGGGGTTAAATCATTTCTTATCATCAGTCATTACTAAAGTTTGGGAAACCACAGCGATCATGTCGTCAATTTTGGAAAACAGCAGCTTTTATTCTGTTTACTTCTTACAGGACAGTTAAAAAAGACTCCACCAAAATCATTTAGATTCAGTTTCTAATGTCAAACGTTAACACCAATGAAAAAAAACTGCACATACATTTTGTCTGTGCCTTCTTCAGTGTTCTTCAGTTTCATGGTTGGAACCTTTTCACTTTTTATTTCTCAGAAGTAGATGCCCTGATGTCTACAGAAGTAAACACAGGCCTTAAGTCTATATAAGTACACAACATAAGCTGTCTATAGTGTTATCTGGTTGGCTGTTATGTGGAGCATTCTGACTGAACTGCAAGTATGAAAACATCATGTGCGACAGCCTCTCATATCTGTTGTTTATGCTCAGTTAAGCTCTGCCGATGCTGACGCAAATATTCAAACTCTGCCTGCCATAGGAAGATGAGTCTCTTGTGGTCAGCCATCTTGATTGTTTACGTTGTGAGTCTTGGATGCTTCGAGCTCGGTATTTGGACCGTTCATCTCGGAAAATTCCAACCTCCCCAGTCGAACGCAGCACGAGTGTCAGTTAACTTATTACCAACAGGCGCACCGAGTTCTGACCTGTAGTACTGAAACACACACAGGGGCCCCTCAAAAACATCGAATCCCACGTCAACAAAAGAATGCATACATTCACAAAGCTATGAGTAGATTATAGAAGTAAACAGGCGACAGAATATATTCAGTATGGGCAATTCTACAACTATTACTAAACATCATGGAGAACAACAGACTACAAGTGTTCATTCATTCATTTATTCATTTAAAATCTAAGAGAAAGACAACCTTCCTTGTAAATGGTGCACATACAATAAATGCAGACAAAGATCTGAATGAGCTGAACATGAAACTGTACTTTTTGCTGCTGCTATCGTTCGGACAGCAAAGTCAGTATGTTGGTCTTTCAGCTGCCTAATGTAGCTCACCAACTACTGGACGGATTACCATGACATCCCCTGATCCCCTGACATTTCCTGTAGTGAGACCAGCAATTTAAAATGGTCACTTATCCAGTGAAATATCTACTGGATACATGGGGACAGAATTTCCTACAGACATTCCTGGGTCTCAGACATGACTTTGCTGATCCCTTGATTTTTCCTCTGGCGCCACCACCAAGTTGACATTTGCGGTTTTGGGTGAATTTTTTTGAAAATCTATTGGACGGATAACCATTAAATTTGGTGCACACGGCTATGCCCATCATGATTATTTGGAGTGCAGCGGGACTTTGACGATCCTCCGACTTGTCACGACCGTCGGGTCAAAATTCCAGTTTGTTGAGTGGTTTGGTTTCTGGGGAAAGATTCGCAGCAGCAGACGTTAGGAGGCCAGCATGATGGACATACCTGTGTCGAAGCAGATAGTGACTCTAACTGCTTAACTGTAGAGTTTGTCTTCTCATGTTTTTTGGGATGTGTATTACCCCTGCCATCTGCTATTTACAAGAAGGTCTCATTTGCTATTAACTGTGTGAGCAAGGTCTGCTTTCTTTCTCTGCTTCAAATGAGAGCTTGTTCGAAGGTCCAGTGTGTTTTGTGGCTGACAGCTACTGCGCTTCTGCTCCAGGTTCAGATCTGCAAGCGCAGCGTGGAGGTGATGGATGCGGTGCGTCGTGGAGCCCAGCTGGCGATAGACGAGTGTCAGTTCCAGTTTCGCAACCGTCGATGGAACTGCTCCACTCTGGAGAGCATGCCTGTGTTTGGCAAAGTGGTCACCCAGGGTAAGATTATACGCTGCAGCAGCTCCAGAGGAGACACCGATATGACAGGAAGCGTTAAAGCTGGCGTATAACAGCCTCTCTACCTGCATGCGTTGACAAAATTGGCAGCGAAATAACCTCGATATCACTTTTAATATACTGTGAAATATTAGAGCTTGTTTTCCATTTGTATTGGCTCCTACATGTTAATGTCTGGGCTCCTTCACTTAGACCCGAACACACTATTTTGATTGTACACACGTGATTTTTTTTTTTTAACCACTCAGAATAAGAAGCTCTTTTCATTTACATCATGTAACAATGACTGTGTGTGTGTGTGTCTGTGTGTGTTTGTCTGTGTGTGTGTGTGTGTCAGGCACCCGTGAGGCAGCCTTTGTGTATGCCATCTCAGCAGCCAGTGTGGCGTTTGCGGTCACAAGGGCCTGCAGCAGCGGAGAGCTGGAAAAATGTGGCTGCGACCACAATGTACATGGAGTCAGTCCAGAGGGTAGGTCTCTCTCCCTTTCACACAAACACACAGATGGAAAGGAGACAGCGGGGCCAACTGATCCAGTACATTTCAATGCAAAAAATCAAAAGATGTGGCATTTTAGATCATTTTAATCAGAAAAAGCCAGGAATACATCAATACTGGAAGCATTTTAACAACGTTATTATATGTGTTGAGCCAGATCTGCAACATCAATAAAGCATGTCATGTACAACGACTATTAATTCAGAAAGAATAAACACTAACTGCAAAATAGTGATCAAGTGCACTCTTTTGCAACCAACAAGGGTGATGACAGTGCCATACAGATAACCACTTCCTGTCTCTATTCTGATATCTTGCCTCAGGGTTCCAGTGGTCGGGCTGCAGTGATAACATTGCGTACGGAGTGGCCTTCTCTCAGTCCTTTGTCGACGTGAGGGAGAGGAGTAAAGGCCAGTCCTCCAGTCGGGCTCTTATGAACCTGCACAACAACGAGGCCGGGAGAAAGGTAACTCCCTGCTGCTCATGTAAACTGTTTAGTTTTAAGTCAGTGAAGAAAAGTCTCTAGTTTTTCAACTTAAGTCCAAGTCAAGACATAAAATGTGGATTTGCACTTTTGCAGAGTTATAGTCCATTACAGTTGAGTTGAACAAATTCAAATAAAATCTGAAGTTATATGAAAAAAAACACATCAAGTTTCAGTTCATTAGAGAAAAGCCCAGGCCAAGACTTAAACCTTTTAAGAAAAGTGCAAATCAAATCTCAAACCCTTTAACTAGCTTCCAAGACAAGTTGAAGTCTGGTTATTCAAGACTCAGACTTCTCTTGGCTCAGAAAACAATTAAACAAATGCTAACAAACTATTAAAAAATGGACACAACTCTGTCTAGTCATGAGAGGAGTCCAAGTGAAGTGTCAAGTCACATGAGACCAAACAAGTCAGTTCAGAAATCTTCAACAGCCAACTGCAAGCTTGTCAG